GGGCCTGGAACGTGGGGTTTTGATGAAGGTAGATGAGTTTGACTGGGAAGACCCCATAGAGCTTGGGGTATTTTGGAGCTTACCTTTACCCCAGTGTGTCCTAGGCCCGTATAGGCCTCATCCTTAGGGGACTGTGACTGCCGAGGTTGCTCTTGGCTGGGGTCTCTGGCCTGGGCTCTTGGTTGCTGCCCTCTCCATACACAGCTCGCTGCAGGGAAGCGGTGTGAACTTGGGGTGAATTCTCTGGGAAGTCTGAGCCATTAAATGCTGACCTTTTTGTGAACGCCAGGCAAATCCTGGCCTGAACCGCCTGGCCCTGGGGCGGCCCTGGCAGAACCTCTTCCTGGAGCCCCGGGGAAGGAACGTGCGGGCAGTAGCAGCCCCAGGGTCCTGGCCGTGTCACCGAGCTGCGTCCTGCGGGCGCTGTCCTGGGGCCAGGCCTGTGTGCAGGTCAGGGCTGGGGGCCGGGACAGGACAGGGCGGGGACGGACTGAGGATGACTATTGCTTGTGGGACAGATGGTTTTGTGGCTTCCAGTTTTTCAAGAGAAACTAATTCTAATTTTGACTCTTGACTCTGTGTAAGTGTTGCTGGTTGGTTCCCACAAGGCATGGCTCCCGGCCTGGCAAAGGTGGGAACCAGGGGAGGAGACCAGGGGACTGGGTGGGACGCTCCAAGCCCTCCACGGGCTGCAGGGGACCTGGTGTGGTCATAGGAGCCCCCCAGGAGCAGTGCCCACAGCCGGCTCCACCCCACTCCATGTTCTGCCCAGCGTGCTGTGCCCAGCTTCCCTTCCTTGCCTGTCGCAGCGCAGCCCCAGCTCCTGTGTAGGCGCTGCAGTGGCCGAGGGCATCTTGGTTTCTGTCCTCCAGGGCCTGGGAGGGTCCAGGCAGTGCCGCCCCTGGCTTCCTGGTCCCTTGGGGGAATCAGAACCGCGGGCTTTGTCAGGTCCCTTGCACCGACGTGCTGACCTCGCTGGCTCCAGGCCTGTGCCATGGAAACTTGGAGCCCTTCGCGGCCAACGCCGGCTTGGGTGTCCGTCCTTGGGACCTCTGGGCTGCTCCAGGCGCCTCCGCCCCAGGCTGGGAGTGTGGCTGAAAGGGTCTTTTGTGATGCCCAAGGCCGAGGGCGGCTGGTCCTGTGCCATGGTCCAAGCAGAGCTCCTGCAGGCTGCCCAGGAGTTGCCGTGGACCTTGCCACATTGCTCCCGGGTGGCTCCCTCTCCCATCCTTGTCTCCCGAAACGGGCGTGGAGCACAGCTGGCACCCTGACAGCCACCTGCAGTGGCAGGTGCAGCAGGAGCGTCATCAGTGGGAGCTCTACCCCTCTCCCAGAGATGAGGGCAGCTGGAGATACCTCCCATTCTGCTCCAGGTCTACAGAGGGGTACAAGAAAGCTTCTGCCTCAGTTTGCCCTCTTAGAGGCCAGGGCAAGGCTCTGCAAGGTAGTGGTGGGAGCCTTGTGGTCGGCAGAATGCCAAGATCCTACTTCCTGGAGGATGCTGAGGAAGAATGCAAGGGCCAGGGGACCAGGAAGACCCTCGTCCCAGAGCCACACCCACTAGCACAGTGATGAGGCTGTGACTGACTGCTGCCAGGGGCTCCGTGACTGCCACCCGCTCTGGCCAGGCCCTGCCTTGTTTCCTGACGGCCCCTTCCTCCCCCTCCTCCTCCTCATAGCCTGTATCTCTCCCCAGCCCCACTTAGAATCATCGTGTCAAATGTCCTTGCCATCTGTCACCTAGCTCCACCCCTGACCTCCACCCAGGAACCTGGGCCCACTCCATGCCCCTCTCCTTCCTGCTCACCCACCACTGAGGACCCCATGGCCAGGCAGAGTGGGGGCACCTGGGTCTGTCTTCTCTGGGTCCTGACACTGCACCCTGAGTTTGTCCATGGAACCTGGGTCACAGCCACCAGGCGACAGGGCAGTCTGGGGACTCCGGGTCCCTCCCCAATCGCTGTGGGCTGGTGCTGGGGCTGCAGGGGGCCCAGGTACATTGGTGTGTGACTCCCACCTGTCTTGAAGGCCCGGCCACCTTGTGTGACTTGTTTGGCTCCTGGGGGGTGTCCTGGGGGTGCTGGGCTGCTCCTCCCATGTTCTGGTCGGGTCCGGGTCACCTGCTCGGCCTGCGCTGGTGCTGACAGTAACTACTGCTCAAGGCTCAGGCACTGACCTTGGGCTGGCCGGGGCTCACCAGCAGCCTGGGGGTCCCTGGGCCTCTTCCCCACCCCAGGAACCAGCTTCACTCGGGGGAGGTCAGAAGAGGCCGCAGGCAAACCTGGCAATGAATTTCTCATGAAGCTGTGGCTCTGGGGATCACACGGCCCACGCTGCTGCAGCTGGCCAGTCCAGCAGCCAGGGTGACTGCAGCCTTATTAGGGCTGCAGGAGCATCGCTTCTTGGGGGGCTAGGGATCCGGGTGAACGTCGGGGGTGAGAAGGGGCACCTTTTATTTTGTTCACAAACATTTCTGCTGTCATGAAAAACCACCAAGAAGGCGGACTAGAGAGAGAATCGGAGTCCAGATTGCGCAGGCGGCCTGCCCGCTGGGCCCCGCCTCGAGGGGCGTAATTATGGGGGTGCCGGGGGTGGGGTGGGCTGGTGCTTGATCCAGGATGGCAGCAGATTCATCTCAGCCATTAGCTCGTAATTACAGAGCGGGCGGCGCAGGCCGAGAGGAGCAGGCATGAAAGGAGGCAGTAATTACGGGATCGGCAGGAGACTGGGGGCTTGGGCTACTGATTAATAAGGCCTGCTGGGGGCCAGGCCTGCTCCACGGACCCCCGGTCCTGCTGTCTCCAGCACTAGGACAGCAGGTGAGCCTTGCCAGGTCCCTCGTGTGGGCCACAGATGGCCTTGTGACAGTCACCCCGCCTGGCCCTGCGGCGACTCCTCCGCCTCTCCCTCAGCCTGCTGGGACTGACCACACGGGTCCGGAGAAGAGGGAGTGTCCCTGAGGCCAGCAGGGTGTCGGGTTCTCTCTGCCCTCCAGCTCTGGTAGCTTCGGGGAGCAGAGTGCTGGGCGGGGGCACCCCCTGGCGCTGATCTGGTGTGCCCGGGCTGAGGCCCTGGTGTCTGGGTAGATGGCACCTCCTTGGGGTGGGGCCCGGGAAGAGAGGTCCCAGACTCTGGGCTGGGCCCAGCCACAGCCTTCACCCCTCACCTTTTCTGCAGAGCACTTGGACCCGGCTGTGGCTGGGGCACAAATTAACAAGTATCTCTCCAGAGGGTATGGGGAGCAGCACCACAGTCTACCCTGGCCCCGGCAGGATGCTAAGTCGGGGGTGGCCCCGTCCTCTTCCCTCAGGCCCCCCAGAGGCTGGCCATGTGTCCTTGTGGGAGCTGTCCCTGGGCTGCCATCCCGACCGCCCTGCACAGCACAGGAGAATGCTAACTTTAGCTTCCCCTTAGTGAGGCCACTGCTCCGTTCTATTTTCAGTGAGCTGACCTCAGCGGACCAGTTTCCCGGCTGGGAGCGCTGACACCGCTGGGACATGGCTTTGGGGGACCCCAGGGATTGGGGGAGGGTCGCGGGCTTTGTCTGGTTGCTCCTGAGTGTGGCATTGACCTTGGGGTGGCCATGGCCCAGGGAGGGTACAGAGCGCAGTGCTGTCTCAGGACCTTGGGCACAGGGTGCAGCCGGCAGCTCTGACAGCACCCTAGCTCCTGAGGCCTCCTCCCGTTGCCCGTTGCGGCCTCCTAGGACCCGCGCTCCTGCCTGTGCCACCCGTGCAGTGCTGTGGCCTGCCCCAGTGGCCAGCCTCGCCTCTTATGAAGGGCACTGGGCAGGGACTTCTTCCAGGTTTGGGGGACGGTCACCCAGAGGTGCAAGGCACCGCAGCACCCAAGTCTTACAGCAGCGCCTGTGTGGCAGAGGGGAAGACACCAGGGCTGGGACACCCCGGGGACCCAGATCGGTGTCACACCACAAGCCCTGCCCTGGGCCTGTCCAAGACCCCAGCGGAGTGGGGTGTGGGTTTGGGGAGGCACTGCTGGCATCCAAGGGACAGGAAGGGAGGACACGGGTCAGGTGTGTGCAAAGGCCAGGGGGTGTGAGGAGGAAAGGCATGGAGACAGTCACAGCTAGCTTAGGGCTGTCTTCCTCCTACTCTGGGGGATCCCTCTGCCTGCTCACATGGGGACCAGGGAGGACACCCAGGTGTGAGGAGAGGGTGGTGACAGGCTGGGTGGCCCTGCTGCCATCCTGCCCTGTGCCTTGACCTCCAAAAACCCAGCTGAGGAGGGAGGATGTGGGGTAGGCTCAGATCGGGGCTCCCTGGGCCTCGAGCTGTGTGCATGTGACTGACATACCACAGCAGAGGCCAGCGCCCTGCTGGGGGCGCCCCTCCAGATTGCTCTCCCTGCATGAGGCCCATGGCCTGTAGGGTCTGGAGTGGGCCCAGGACATCTCTGGGTGTCCTGTACCGTCTGGTCACCTGTGGGACCCCTGCCTGTTGGCCTGCACGGACTCAGTGCCGGCTGCAACAGAGACCAGGACAGCTCTAGTGATCCAGTGGCCACCCCGGGAAGCCCAGCTCTCGCCTGCCTGGGCTTCCAGCTGGGTTGAGGGGCCTGTGTGCCGCTCCCCCGTGGACCACACTGTCACAGCCGCACTTCACCTCTCTGGCTTGTGCCCATGGTTGTGTGGGGGAGCTGGCTGTGCCCACGCCCTCGGCCATGCGAACACCGCCCCCCTCTGGGGGGTCTGTGTGGCTATGGGGTCATACGGTGGTCCTCCCGGCTATGCCACCAGCGTGGCACAGCCTTCCCTGCAGTGTTACACCCTGAAAATGCTGGTTCCGTGCCCCATGTCCCTGCGGGCACCACTCTGGGGTCCTCTGCATTCTGCCTGGCCCTGGGTTGTGCCATCCGGTGCCGACCACGGGGTCCTCTGCGCTGGCTCTGTCGTGCCCGCCCCGCCTGCCTCCTGCATGCTGTCACAGTGCTACGCGCCCTCCACTCTCTGGGTGACCCTGGTTCTTCTCTTCCTGTTTCAGGCATGAGCCATGAGCCCAAGTCCCCTTCGCTAGGGATGCTTTCCACCGCGACCAGGACCACCGCCACCGTCAACCCCCTCACCCCCTCGCCACTCAATGGCGCCTTGGTGCCCAGTGGCAGCCCGGCCACCAGCAGCGCGCTGTCAGCCCAGGCCGCGCCTTCCTCCAGCTTTGCCGCTGCACTGCGCAAGCTCGCCAAACAGGCGGAGGAGCCCAGAGGTAAGAGGCACCACTGCGGCCCCAGGTGCGACGGGAGACAGCTGCCCGTTTATCCGAGTGCTGCCCGCGCCCCTAGCCCAGCCTCGCTTTGCTTTGCCTGTGCCTGCTCTGCACCCACTCCAGAGGCCGTGGCGGGGGCTCTGCTCCCTCTGCTGGGAGTGGGAGCTGCCCGTCTGACACTCGGCTCCAGGTATGTCACTGTCCCCAGAGGGGGCAGAAGGCAACCCCACCGCCGCCTGGTTCCCTGTGGCTTTCTCTTGTGTGGTCAGGGGCCCTGGGGCCCAGTTCTAGGCTCCTGGTGTCACTGGGCAGTGACGTTGTGTGGCTGTGGCCGTCCCTGAGCTTCCTCACTCTTGTTTTGGGGGTGCAGCTTCCCAGGCTCCTCCCTGTCCATCCAGCCCTGGAGCCTTTGTTGGGGTCCTGATGGCTGTTGTGGCTGTATGTGCTTGTGAGGTATTTGGGGTGTCAGGTGACGGGTTCATGGCTGGAGCTTCTGGGCCCTGTGGGCTCTGGCTAGGCCCCTGGCTCTCTGTTTGGAGGCAGACACATTCTGAGGCAGACCTCAGCATCCCAGTGCCAGGGACACGGGTGTGCAGTCCCCTCAGCACAGGGGAGTGGTCGGCGGCCCTGACCAGGGCTATTCCTTTTGGTTTCTCCTTCTGGCTGCCCAGCCTTTGGGGCCACAGCGTCCTGGTCTCTGCTTGCCATCCCCTCCAAGGGCAGCCCAGCACCAGCTGCCTCCCAGGAGGAGGTGCCCTGCCCAAACCTGGCTGCAGGTGGGACACAGGAGCCCACCACAGGGCCAGGGCCTCCATAGGAAGAGGAGCTTGGGACCGTGCAGGCAGGCTCCTGGCCAGGGCGCAGGAAGGACAGGTCTGCACAGGTCTGGTGGCCCCGAATGTGGCCACAGTAATGCTGTGGCTCTGTGTCTGGCTCCAGACGTTGGCAGCAGGTAGCTGTGCTGCCAGGCACTGCTGGACCTCACTGGTAGGAGCAGAACCTGGGGTGGCACGGGGCTCCCTCAATGGGCCTGGGTGCTCTGTGCCCACGGGCTTGGCAGCAAAGAGCCAGGAGTGGCTGGTGGGCTCCGTGACTGGGGACGGGACGCAAGCAACAGGGAGACCCCAGGGTGCCCCATGCTGATACCCAGTGTCCGGCGGCTCTCTGTGGCCACGAGCAGAGGCTCACCAGCCCCAGCTGGCCTGACTCCAGTCCTCTCCCAGCACCCCACACGCCCTTTTCCTAGTCTCCCCGACCTGACTCTTGCCCCCTTCTTGGCAAGCACCAGTGGCGCAGGTGCGCATGAGCCCTTCTACCCCCAGCTGCTGCGGGACCCCTGCTCCTCCCACAGTGTGCAGGGCCTGCCTAGGGGCTGTGACTAGGGCCTCTGAAGCCTGGGGACCCTGGGGACAGGCACACGGGCCCAGTGGTGTGAGCTGGGAGGAGGACCCACATCACGTGGTCCTGGCAGTGGGGGACCTGACTTTGCTTTTTTTTGTGGTTCTGGGGGTTGAATCAGGGAGTGCTGAGCTGCACCCCAGCCCTCCACCCTTTGAAGATGTAAGTTGCCCGGCTGACCTTGAACTTAGAATTTTCCTGTCTCAGCCTTCCAACCTCATGCAGCTGGACTTTTTTTTTTTTTAAGTCTTCGTAAAGTTCTCATATCTCATTCATCCTGGAAGCATACACTTGAGTGTTCTTACCGTACCCAGGGTGGCACAACCATGGCCCTCTATAATCTAAGGGGTAGCCCAGCCCAGGCTCTAGGTCAGCCTGTCCCTACCACCGTCACCCAGGGCTGATGCAGTGCACAGGCCTGGCTCCCGCCCCCAGCTGACATCTGTGCTGACTGTCCTGACCACTCAAAGCATCAGTGACCGTGATGCGGGGTGCAGCGCAGTCAGCCATCCTTGTGGCTCCCTGGGTCGCCTCTGCTGCTGGTCTCCGTCGCTCCTCACTGTGCCCGAGGTACAGACTAAATGTTGAATTCAGACAAAGCGTCCGTGCCATCTCGCTCGCCCGCTCTGCCCAAGAGGAAGGACGCGGGGAGAGGACCGGCTGGGCAGGCCCTGATTCCGCTCCCCAGGGCCTGGCGTGCGAGTGTCTGTCAGACAGCGTGCCGGCCTCTGGTCCTTCCTGACCGCGGGAGGAGGGCCGGCCCGAAGTTCTATCTGTGTCACTGCCGCCGTCATCGCTGTGGCCCTGCCACGTGCTTGCCTGCGTTTCCTGTTGCCGCTGTCTGTCGTCTTCATTTCCTGGGTGGTGCAGGGGGCCCAAGCCCACATCGGGCCTTCTGGTGGAGCCTTGGGCTATGGGTCTGGGCTGACCCGGGTTTGTCCCAGGCTGAGCTATGGCGTCACCAGGCTGCGGCCTTCCCTGGCCGCTGTGTGGTGGCCCCTGCTGTCTCTGTAGCCACTAGGGTTGTCCCCTGGGCTATCCAGCCCTGCTCTGAGGTGTCCCAGGGCCTGGACACACTGTCCCCAGTGTCTGAGCCAGCCCAGGAGTCCCCAGATGGCAAGAGTCCTGCTCTGTCCGCACCAAGCTTCACCCCTGCAGACTCAGCCCTGCTTGTTGAATGACTAAAAGAGGCCTCGGGTACCACACAGGACTCTGGGAACCCTGCAACTCCGGCCACTGGCCCGACCCCCAGGTCTTCCCCCAGGCAGGGACCTGCTGGAGTCTCTCCTTCCCCAGGGCCCCTGCAGAGTCCCAGCCACCCCCGTCTGTGCGAAACGGCGCCAGGGCTGTGCCAGGCAAGGCTCAAGCTGTGTGGCAATCTGCCGTCTCCCTCGGGACGTGGCGCCGTCTGCTGAGGGCGGAGCTGTAGCCTGGAGCCGGCAGCATCTTCGGCCCACGCGACGCCTGAGGCTGTGCGCCCCTCGGTGCTGGGAAACCAGTCAGGGGCCGTGAGACTCATTCATGGTCACCCCCGGGAGGGCATGGTTGTCCACAGGCATCAGGCTCCTACATGCCAGCCACTGGGATGGGGCCCACTGCCACGGAGCAGGGTGGCCCCTGTGGAATGGTGGCTGCCCCATTCGCTGGTACTGTTGACACCTGCGGAGCTGTGGTCACACCATTTGCGGCCTTGACAGTGCTAGAGGGACAGGGCTGGAGAGGGCGGTGCTGGCGGTGGGCACTGGCAGTTTCCGCCCATTCCCTGCAGTGGCATCTGCTGGCTGCCTGCCCCATCTTGTCGCGGGCTTTGCAGGTGAGAGGGCTGCGGGTCCGGTTACCGCCAGGTCCCTGGTGCTTGAAACCGAGATCCTGGTGCGAGCAGAGGCCAGGCGAGGTGTCGCTGGCAGGGCAGGCCTGGCAGGGCCGTTCTGCCACCACCCACCTCGGAAATCCGCCTCTTTCAAATAAAACAGCAAAACAAACACGGGGGTGTCCCCAGCCTGGCACGACAGCCTCGCACGTGTCACTGTGCGGCTGGTGGGGCGCAGGCGTCTCCTGGCAGTGCCTGGGGCCCATCTGTAGTGCGGCACAGGTGTGTGAGCATGGTGGGCATCCTTGGCGTTCTGTCCTCAGGGTCTGGAGGACACTGGGAAGGCAGCGTTGACCCAGTAAGGTGCCCAGACCCAGGCATTAGGCGCAGTTGCTTGGTGGGATGGGTCCTCCTTGCCCCTGAGGGACTGGCAAGCTCCCCCCATAGCCTCTCTTGTGCGCTGTGGCAGGCCTCTTGCTCTTTAGCCCATAATCAGCCCTGGACGAGGACGAGTTGAGGACACTCAGCTGTGCAGGCCCAGAACCCCAGCCCCAGCCGTGTCCCCACACCGGAGCAGCTTCCCGCCCGTCCTCCTCACCCTGGGCTCGCTGGGGCCCTCAGCCCTGGTGCCATCTGCTGGGCTGGCTGGAGTGTCCTCGGGCCACTCTCTTGCTATCGGGCACCTTGCAGGGAAGGCCCTCTCGCTGGCCCCCACCCTGCAGGAGCAGCCACAGCAGCCCCAGGGAGAATCAGCCTGAGACCCTGAGGTGGGAGTGGGGCCAGGATGCCCCTGCTGGAGGACCTGCAGGCTGGGAGCGCAGCTCAGCCGTGAGCTCTTGCTTCCTGTGTGCGTGTGTGTCCCCTGCGCTGGAGAGAAACAAGAAGGTTGACCTGGGGACAGCGACCTAATGGGCCTGCTCCTGGGGAGCAGGTGGGGCGGGGATGCCCGGTGCCAGCACCTGGCTGTGCAGGACCCTCACTTGCTGGGTCACCCACTGACCTGGGCACCCTGCCCGTGGGACCAGAGTCTTGGGACATTGCCAGGGTCCTTCAGGGAAGCTCGGCAGCAGCGTCTGCTTGCACTCTCACTGTCAGAGCCCCAGCGATGGGTCTGGGTCCCCCCTTGCCCCATCTTGCTAGGCCCCACTGTTAGCCCTTCGGCACCCACGGCTGTGGGACTGATGGGGATGACGCCTTGTGTATGCAGTTGGTGCTCGGTAGTTGTCGGCCTGTGATAGCTGGCAGGTGCTGCTGTAACCATGGCACTCTGTCCCCACTGTGCTCCCCGGGCTGACTTCGGGGCCTCAGCTGTTAATTACGGGTGCCGGCAGGCGCGGCGCTGATCTGCGAGGTTAGACAGCAGAGGTGACAGGGACACACTCTGCTTCTTGTCGTCCGCAATCCGCTCCGACGCATTGACTACTCCTGGCAGAATACCGCCAGTTAATTACAAGGATCACGAACCTTCCTGCTCCAGCCGAGCAGTGAGGAGGCGGCCTCGGCCCTGGGCGCCAGCCTCGCTAATTGGCAGCCCGTCGTCCAGTATCGATCACTGCTGCTCGCCTGGCGAGGAGCACCCCCCCGCCAGGGATCAGGCCGCTGATTGTCACGGCCTCCCCTCCCTCGGCCTCAGCCCAGCGCAGGCCCTGCCCCGACAGCTGCCCAGCTTCTCCTTGGGCTTCAGTGAGGCGCACTCAGAGTGGAGAGGATTGGGCCGAAGCAGGCATCCTCCGTCTCCCTCGGGCTCTCGTGTGTGCCAAGCTGGGATAGGGGGCCCTTGGGAGGCCCTGAGCCCGCTCCGCCTTCAGCCACGTTGTCCCCCCAGCTCCAGGGCACGAAGACCCACCCCCTTCCCCAGCTCCCAGCACTGAGCTGGGTCCCAGCCTTCCTTGGCAGCAGGTGCCGCCCTCCGCCCGCATCCCCACAGCCAGGCGTGGGTGGGACAGTGCAGCTGGGTGTGGGCTGTGGGTTCTGTTCCTCTTCCTGGGTGCCCCAGTGAGCCAGATGGGGCAGGGAGACCCCAGGAGACAGGCGCCTTTCTTCTGTTCTGTTCTGTTTTGGGGAGAAACCTCTTTTCCTTGCTGTTGTCTTACAAACTCTGAAAGAGATCTTCCCGTCAGCCCTGGCCGAGGTGGAGGCCGTCCTCCTGGGCTCTGTCCCCAGCGGTACACACGCATCTGTGACCGGCAAGGTCAGCGGCCCACTGCTCTCAATGTCTCCGTGTGACGGAGGCAGGGGGCGCCGTCCTGGCCCCTTCCTGCAGCTTCTCTGCGCCACTGTGACGTGCACCAGTCTGTGTCTAGGTGCGTGCGAACCTGGGGCCGGCGTAGCCGGCCTGGCCGGGGAGGGAGGCACAGAGGGGCGCTGGCCGGGGAGCAGGGCGGTTCAGGGCCCCCAAGTTCCTTCTTTGTTCTCAGGCCTGGCTGGGGAGCCCTGCAGCTGCTTCCTCCTGTCTGGGACCCAGTGCTCCCCTCCTAGGTTCCGGGTCTGCCCAGCCTTGGGGCTGCAGGACCCTTAGGGTATGGACTTCCAGGGGAGTTGGGGTTGCTGCCTTGGGTGCCATGGGGGCCTGTGATGGGGGCTGTGTAATGTGCACTAGCAGAATGTGTCGCCAGGCCACTTGGGACGGAGGCAGATCTCCCTGTGCTAGCCTGGGGAGCACCACTAAAGCGGTTGGAGTGTCAGGACCCGGCCCGGGGAGAGCTGCCGAGAAGGCACAGCCACCTACCCCAGGGACACCTCTTGCCCTGGGCCTCTGCCTCCTGGTTAGCTCTGGTCTGTGGCCTAGAGGCTGCTCCTCAGGAGCCCAGCTGCCTGCTGCTGAGGGAGGCAGGCTTCCTTCTGGAGCGGAGCGAGTATTCTGGAAATAGAGACAGTGAACACATCAGCATCCGCTGGCTGGGGTGCTTGGAGATGAGGGTGTGCTGCTCGGGTCCCTGCTGCTGGAGGTAGATGTTTGGTGGTTTTGAACCCCACCTCCGGGCCTCCTGCCCGCTGTCCCATCAACCCCCAGCCCTGGCCCATCCCACGCACACAGCCCGCCTGCCCTGCTGGGTCTGGCCAGGGGAAAGCCGGTGTCCTTCACATCACCGCGTGCTGCAGGGCCACGTGGGCAGCGGAGTGTCTTATGCTTGGTGCCCTGGTGGCCAGGCCAAGGGAGAAGGGCGACACCAGCTCCAGCTACAGGTGCAGCGGCTGACCTGGAGCCCGCCCGCCTCCCACTCAGGCTGTTGTTCTCTCCTGCAGGGTCCTCGCTGAGCAGCGAGTCATCTCCCGTGTCCTCTCCGGCCACCAACCACAGCTCCCCTGCCAGCACGCCCAAGCGCGTGCCCATGGGCCCCATCATCGTCCCCCCCGGGGGCCACAGCGTCCCCAGCACACCCCCCGTGGTGACCATCGCCCCCACCAAAACGGTCAATGGCGTCTGGAGGAGTGAGAGCCGCCAGGTGAGGGGTCTGAGGGCAGTGGTGGGCAGGCGGCATCCCTGAGGGATAGCGGGACGCTCAGCTTCTGTTAGCCCTGGAGCTCCCAGCTGGGTCCAAGCTGCACAGGGGCTCGGGGCCCCTGCAGGTTGGGTGGCTGAAGGGACAGAAACCTCCAGCAGTGGAGGCCGGAGCCCACGACAGATGTGGGCAGGGCAGGACCCTGACACTCGTCTCCCTGTGTCCTCCTGGGGTCCCTCGGAGTGTCTGTGTTCTGCTCTTGCCTCTGAGGACTCTGGGCCATGTGAGTTGGGCCCCTAGTGCTGTTCCCCTAGTCACCAAGAGCTTGTCAGTAAGTGTGGTCACCATGGGCCACAGCGCGACCTCTGTGTGCACACTGCACATCCTAGTGGCATGTAAGGTCACCTCGCGCTGGGTGAAGGCGGGAAGAGCATGGGCCACCTCGGTGGTGGCTTCCCCAGGCCAGGGCTCCTTGATTGCACCTGTGGGGGGACCTCCCCTCCTCCCCGAAGTGCTCATTAAGAGCCACGGTCAGCCTGGGCTCCTCCGGAGCTGCTGCCAGTCCCACGTGAACTCCTGAAGAGCACACAGGAGCAGCAGGGGTAGGGGTGGGCGTCGTGGCCACCTCTGTCCCATCCTTCCCCGCCCCAGGCGCCCAGCTGAGACTCATGGGTCCTGACATCCTCCGCTGCCCTGTCCACTGTGGCAGAGGGGATGCCTCGCCCCACGAGCCTGTCTTGGCTGTGCACCACCCTGTGTGCGGGGTGGGAAGGGGACTGGCCAGTCCTGGGCATTGTCACCAGACTCTTCTTCCCCCACAGTTGCCCCAACCTGAGGGACCCCAAGTGCCACAGGCTGCTCCTGCCTGAGCGGCCAGCAGGTCACCCTGTCCCCGCCCTGCACCTCTGGTCGGCCCCGCCTCCTCCTGAGACTGTCACTGTCTCTGTGGGTCCTTACCACAGCACACGGAGGGGCCCTGAAGGGGCGGGACGCGTAGATGTGGGCCCCGTCAGTGCCGGCAAGAGGGTCCGGGAGAGGAGCGGAGCGCTCCCTCCATGCCGCTGTGTCACCGGGCCTCGTGGGGCTGCAGACTGGGCCAGAGCCGGGGGCACTGGCTCTGGGCCCTGCCTGGGTCACAGCAGCTCCCGGCAGTGGGAGCAGGGAGAAGAGATGAGATGAAAAATCGTCTATTTGGAAGCTAACAGGGCATGTCCCGCCTGTCTGAGTGCAGACCTCTCTGATCACCGGAGGATGACGGATTTTCCTCTGCCTGCCCCTCCTCCTCCCTTTCATCGCCGCAGCTGCTCCTGCAGCCGCCTCTCAGAAATAACAAGCCGCCCGCAGATGCGCCCTGACGCGCCTGTCTGCCGGGGCGGCTGAGACCCGGCCGCCCCCACTGTGGGGTGCCTTGGGCGCCGTGGCCCTGTGGGGCACTGCCCAGGCCCCCATGCCCTCCACCCTCCCTGCTGACCTAGTTCCCAGGTGCCTGGCATGGCTTGGCTGGGGTCCAGCCCGATGGAGGCTGGGCGTGTTGGTCTGGCCTGCAGAGCCCACTGCCCTGCCCCTCCCTCCTCCTGATTGTCCTCAGCGAGGCCGGAAGGTGCCATCTGGCCCAGCTGCCTTCGAGCAGGCCTTTGTGGTGGGGGGAGGGGGTTTGTGTGCATGCACACAGCTTGGGCTGAGGGTGTGTGCCAAGCAGGACCCTCTGGTGGCAGCGTGGCCGGGAGCCATGTTGCTCTGGTGAGTTTGTGGCACATGGCCCTGGGGTAGGTGACAGGCCTGCGTGCTGGGAGCCTGTCCTCAGCACTGTCCTCGCATGGAGTTCTGTCCCCTGAGGACTTTGGCTACCACTGCCCATGGGACAGTCTTCCTAGGGCGCCATGCTGGTCCCCGTCCCAGAGAGCACTGGGCGCTGTCCTGGCTCTTGTTCAGCTCAGCCCGGGTAGTGGTGTCCTTCGTTGCTCTTACCCAGACCCATGCCAGCCTGGCCCTGTGCTGGGCAGGGTGAGGGGTGTGCAGAAGACTCCAGCTGGCCCAGGGCAGAGGTGATGGGCTGAGCCTGAGGGCCCTGTGTGCGAGACCCCTGCCTCCCGATCCCGAGGCTCACAGCTGTGTGACTGGCTCCAGTGCACTGTGAGTGGGGCTGCCGCTCACACGATGACAGATGGGGAAACTGAGGCACGGGGCAGTTATGGGCCTGTCTCAGGGCTCTGGACAGGACCTTGTGTCTTAAGGCCGAGCCAGGGCCCACGCTGCTGTCACCCTGGGCCAGGCTCGGCGGGCACGTGTGCCTCCCCCCAGGGAAGGGTAGGGCCGAGGTCACGAACCTGAGAGGACCCTGCTGAGGCAGGGAAAGGAGCAGATGCTGCTTCTCATTAAGAGGCCAGTCAGCAGCCTGTCTTCTTCAATTAGCTGCTCTGGCTGTCTTTGAAGAGCCAGGGCGTTAGGGGAGTGCATGACAGCCTGTGCCTCAGTGGCTGTGGGGACAGCAGCACCAGGGGGTGCCCTATGAGGCCCCTCACTGCCCACACAGGCCAGGTGAGCTGACAGGGTCTCACTGCTCCCTGGTGCCCACCCTACAGCCAGCATGTTCCTGCCAGCTCTGCAAGGGCATGGCCAGGGCCCAGGCCCCGTTTCCTGGCATCGGGTGTTTTGTGGCTTGGTGGAGCACACAGATCACCTCAGCTGTGGTGCCAGCTCCCTTCCCAGGTGTTGGAGCTGATGGCTACTGGGCCCCTGCTGTGGGTGTGGCAAGGCCAGGAACCCCTGCTGCGTGTGTCCTGTCACGTCACACACCTTGGTGGCCCAGCGGCGGCAGGGGAGGTCCGAGTGGCCTTGAGTGCAGACCCGCCTGTCGGAGGCTGGTCCGCCCTCCCCACTCTGCTGCAGCACTTCCTGTGGTTCAGGGCGTCTCTGCGGGGAGGCCCGGCTGGCTCAGTGCTGGCTGAGTGTGCGCAGCTTCCCCTGTGCTTCCCTCAGCAGGACGCGGGCTCTCGGGGCGGCAATGGCAGCGGTCGGGAACGCCTCATCGTGGAGCCGCCGCTGGCTCAGGAGAAGGCAGGCGGCCCAGCTGTCCCCTCCCACCTGCTCAGCGCCCCGTACCCCTTCGGGCTCTCCCCCAGCTCGGTCATGCAGGATTCCCGCTTTCCGCCACTCAAGTAAGTGCCCGTCTGGGGATGGAAGGGCACTGTCCCCGGGTCCACGAGGCAGGCTGTGCCGCCAGGTGGCTGACTTCTGTAGCTCCCGTAAACTTGTCCTTGGTCCTGGGGCCTCCAGGCCATGGGTAGCAGCTGTGCCCACCGGTGAGGACTTCGGGATCCGGGCAGGCCGCTGGGACTCTGCTGGAGGAGGCAGAAGGGTGGTCTCCCGGTGGCTGCTGGCTGGTAGCAGGCTTTCCGCTCACCGTCCCTTGCCCGCCTGCTGTCCTGACCTGCAGCCTCCAGCGGCCTGTGCACCACGTGGTGCCTCCCAGCACGGTGACCGAGGATTACCTGAGAAGCTTCCGGCCCTACCACACCGCAGAGGACCTGCGCATGTCCTTGCCCCCGCTCGGCCTGGACCCGGCCACTGCCGCTGCCTACTACCACCCCAGCTACCTGGCCCCGCACCCCTTCCCGCACCCCGCCTTCAGGTGAGCCCCTCTGCTCCCTCTTCAGTCACAGGATGGGACCTGGCCCGGGCTGCCTGCCGCTCCCGCCTGCCCGTTAGAAGGCTCCTCACTCCTCTGCCCCCCTCCCTGGCTCAGGGCTCCCTGCAGTGGGACCGAGGCGCTGGGACATGCTGTCCTCGAGCAGCGTGGACCCCTGAACCCTGCCCGATGGGCCTTGCCACAGGTGGATGGCCCTGCAGCCCGCCTGCTGGTCAGCCCCAGGAGGGCCTCCGGGTGGGGCCCTGAGCTATTCGGCCTGGGCAGATAGGTATCACACTACCCATCCTGTGTGTGGGTGCTGGGGTTGGAGTAGGGCTTCGCACGTGCCAGGTGACCTCACGCTCTCTTTGTGTGACTGTGGCGCCCACCAGTCCCGTCTTCTCGTACAGGATGGAAGACTCCTACTGCCTGTCCGCCCTGAGGTCTCCGTTCTACCCCATCCCCACCCCTGGCTCCCTGCCTCCGCTGCATCCCTCGGCCATGCACCTCCACCTCTCAGGCGTCCGCTACCCGCCGGAGCTCTCGCACTCGTCCCTGGCGGCGCTGCACTCGGAGCGCATGTCGGGGCTCAGCGCAG